TTCAAAGAGGAATTTTAAAAATCCATCGAAAGTTGGCAAAACTGCTTGAAAGAACCTAAGAATAGGTTATCCAAACCAGAGGACTGGTTTGCACTGTGGGGTCATGAAAGAAAAAATTTCTTAAAAATAACAAGAAAAAAAGCAGTAACAATCCAAAGGCTAGAAAATGACAATAGAATGTATAACTTAAGAATAACGAATATGAATGAAGAAGCAAGTCTACAAACAAAGGAACTGCAAAGGCTATTCACAAAAATAATTAAGGAAAACTTCCCAAGCATAGGAAAAGGAAGATACTCAGGTGTTTGACGCATACAGAACTACAACTACCTAAACCATAACAGAACCACATTTAAGCATATAATAATCAAGATCCCAGAAATCTAATATAAGAACAGAATATTAATAGCTGTCAGAGACAAGAAACAGATAGTTTATAAGGGAAATCCCATCAGAATTACATTAGAATTCTCAGCACAAACCATCAAATCAAGAAGAGAATGGAGCGAATCATTCCAAGTCCTGAAAGAAAATCATCTCCAACCCAGATTGATGTATACTGAAAATTTTCCCTAGTAATTAATGGAGAAACAAGATGCTTCCAAGATAAAGAGGAACTGGGGGAATTCCCAACCACCAATCCAACCCTATAGAGAGTACTACAGGTCATTCTAAAGAGAGAGAAAAGCACCAAGATTACAGGAACACTGCAAGAAAGGCCACAATGAATGGAGCAAAAAGTGAAATGAAGAACACAAGCAGACAACTAATGACAGAAAAAGAGCACAACAGAAATGAGGCAGAGAAGGTTAGATATAATTTCTAATATAGATGGCCTATATACACTACATTAAGGAAAATAAGAGATAATCACCGGAGAGTCGATCAAAAAGTGGGGCCCACCGAGATGCTCTTTATAGGAACTATAATAAACCTGAAGAAGGTATTTGGACCAAAATCGAATATGAGAAAATAGAACTCGATGTGATAGCAGATGAGAGAGTAATAAGGACAACCGGACCAGTATTTATGGATAGGTTGAAAAGACAGGCTTTAAAGAAATACAACTAGAGATCAAGTCCAGGAGTGAGAAAGTTCAGAAAAAGTTAGGTAAATAGCAGGCTGACCCTGCAATATAAAACCAAGGGTGTTGGGGAGACCCAAAAATACACAGTACATCCTGGGGGATTGAAAGGGGAAGAACAGTCTTTTAAAAAACAGAAGAATATATTGCTATTAGTGTATCAGGAATTAAAATGCATATTATTTGCACCACTCTGCTTAGATAGGAGTTATTCCATCCCAGTTTTTATACAAGCACTAGATCTGAGGGCACAGACAGATATCCCAAAAATATCAGGATATAGCACAGTAATCATCTTTAATTTCCTGCTAACTTAAACCAGATCCCTCTGTAACTTATACTGTTATATTATGACTGATATTATTTAAATTTGATTTGTTTGATTGCTTCTTATTATTGATAGATTTTATTCAAAACTGTTAGGTTGATAGTATCTTGAGAGCATATATATACAAGTATACTGAAAATGACAATGATTCACTACAATACTCATTCTGATTTGATTACCACCTGTTTTTGTAGCTCTACACTATCTACAAAGTTGTATTTCTATTAATACTGTTACACACTAATATATTCAATTACATTTTATCTGATGATATAGCCATTTCTATTGATGATAACAAGAGACAACATAGTAACCACGGTACAACTCCTTGTACAGCACTTTTATATGCCCTTTTAGTTTTATGTATCTCTAGGATTATGTTTTTCTCTGTCCTGCTTTGTTCTGTTTCTTCCTCTAATATAGAAAAGATACAAATACATGTTAAGGCACATGGTTCCATAAAACCTATCAACAGCTTATGATAACTGACCTTATGACACATGATTAAATATACAAATACTTTAAAGGGAAAAAAGGCACTACAGTACCCAGTGAAGATTCCATAGTGTCATGATGTGAAATCCAGCAATACTATTAATCTTCAATCAGAGTGATTGTAATCTGCTTTGGTTTGTTAAAGTCAACATAAATGAAGATATGGATAAATACGGACATGTTTAAGTGTGTAGCATTGATAGCCATATTACTTAGTTTTTATTAGATAGTTGAACAGAACTATGTGCAGTCTCCCTGTTTGAATTCCCATTTATATGTTCCACTTTTGTATCTGGAACAATTATCTGGAACTCCTGAGAAGAACTACATGACCTTTATAGGAACTAAGGAACTGATTGTAGTTAATGCAGGTCTCATGTTAGCTTGGTCTTGAACCTCTTGCAGAAAAGGCTGGCCTTTGGAGATACAGTGCAATGTAAAATGTTGGCTGTGGGAGAATCTCGGATCACTAACATCCTCTGACAATTGCTGTCTATGCTGGTAACTGAATACTATTATGAACTGATCAACTAAGATGAGTTTATGTTGGAGTTCTCCTCAAAGCTTTCCCACCTTGAGCTGGCCACCCATCCTGGGAGACAACAAAACAAAGAGAGAGATGTTGGAAAAGGTTGAAGCTGAATATATGTGTAGTGCTGTGGTGTGGCTTTGGCTTTGATTGAATTGAGAATGAGGAGACATCTCAAGGAATAAGATAGGCCACTGCTGACACCACCTGGAGACTTCCTACATAGTTTTCCTTAATTAGCATCATCTGCTGTTCTGAGAGTTCATGGATCCTCTCCCAGGAGCCTGTTCAGGTTTCCTCCATTGTCCACTCAATTCCTTGCTAGTTCTGATTAAATACATGCTACCTAGTGATAGTTGGCTGGCTGGGTAGCAGCATTATGAGCTCTGAAGAGGATTTCACTCTTCCTGCTACCGTCAAGAGAATGCCACTTGTGTCATTTCTTTGGTCCTTTGCTGTGCACTTTTTTGGGTACTCAAGATTTAGGCATAGGCCCCAACAGAAAATTAACTTTCAGATAGGATAGCTGTAAGTTTCCTGAAAAGATTACTTCATGTCCACTGTCTCCACTCTTATTTAATAGAGTCCTGGAAACTAGCTGGAGCAATTAGACAACAGAAAGAAATAATAGAAATAAAGATATGAAAGGAAAATTTTAAACTATCATTATTTGCAGAAGACATGATACTCTACCTAGAAGACCCTAAAAATTCCAACCAAAGACTTCTATTTTAATTAGCAAATTCAATAATATAGCTTTTTACAATGTCAACACTCAACAATCAGTAGTCTTCTTATACACAAATAACAAATTCCTGGAAAGAGACATCAAGGAAATAATACCTTTTACAATGACATGCAAATAAATGAAATATTTAGGAATCAATCTAACAAATGATGTAAATGACCTCTACAATGAAAACTACAGCACTCTCAAAAAGGAGATTGAAAAGATATTATAAAATGGAGAGATATCTCATACACTTGGGTAGGAAAATTATATAGTGAAAATGACCATAGTTTCAAAATTATGGTACAGATTCAGTGCAATCCCAGTCAAAACCCCAATAGCATATCTCACAGAATTACACAAAATAAATCCTAACATTCATCTGGAACCAGAAGAGACCTAAAATAGCTAAAGTGCTCATGGGCAACAAAGAGAAGACAGGGTTCATCACAATGCCTGACTTGGAATTATAGTACAAAGCTACTGTGATTTTAAAAAAGCTGTGGTACTGACAATAAACAAAACAAAACAAAACCAGACACAAAGAGGAAAGAATAGATTAGAAGATGGAGAAACAACCCCAGACACACTAAACCATCTTATCTTTGACAAAGGTACGAAACACATTCACTGGAAGAAAGACAGCCTGTTTAATAAATGTTGCTGGAAAAACTGGATTTACACATGCTGAACATTAATACTGGACCCATATTTTTGAACGTGTATTAAGTAATATCAGAATAGGTCAAAGATTTTATAGTACAACAGAAACATTAAGTCTGCTGGAAGATAGAGTAAGTAAAACTCTAGAAGACATTGATGTAAGTAAAGACTGTATGAAGAAAACATGGATTAAACAGGAACAATCATCCAGAATCAACTGAGATCTCACCCTACTGAAAAGCTTTTTAACAGCAAGAGAAACCACTGGCAGAGTGAAGAGACAATCTACAACGGGGGAGAAAATGTTTGTCAGCTGTTCCTCAGACAAAGGATTACTATTGAGAGCATAGGAAAACTCAAAAAATTCAGTCTTCTCAGATTTAAAGACTCAATCCAAAAATGTGCATCTGAGAAGAAATACACAGTTCTCAGATGAAGAAATAGAAACAGCAAATAAATATGTGATAAAATGTTCTTCTTCTCTGGTCATTCAACACATGCAAATTAAAACAACACTGAGATTTCACCTTGGCTCAGAAAAAATGCCTACTGTCAAGAAATCAATAATGAATTCTGGAGGTAGTGGAAGAAAATTCTGGGGTAGTGGAAGAAAAAGGATCGCTTCTCCATTGTTGTTGGTAATGCAACCACTGTGGAAATCAATGTGGAGTTTCCACACAAACCAGGTCTAGAGGTCCCATTCAAATCAGCTATTCTCACCTTCTGGGTATCTGCCCCCAAAATTTAAAAACATCATATCACAGTGATATATGTGCACCAATGTTTATAGCTGCACAGTTTGCGATAGCCAGATCTTGGATCGAATGCATGACCTCTAGCTTCCCAGGCAGGGGCTTATGCTGATGAGCTAAAACTCTGGACCACAATTTTTACTTTTTATCTTTGAAATAAAATCCTTTTGGGGGGGAAAACAAGGACTGAGGTAAAGTCCTTTAGTGCAAATACCGATCGGAGGAGCTGAGATCAACATTGCAGAAGACAGCCAGATCCAGAAGTCTCCACAATTTTTCATTGGGGATCCACAGTTACAGACTGGGTTTTTTTTTTTTTTTTTTTTTTTTTTTTCTGTAACTATTCTTGGTGGGGAAGGCGGGCAGGAGCGCAGGAGCCAATCAGTGCTGAAGAGGCGGGCTATATGAACTGTCCAATCAGGCGGACCAATCTAGGTGGTCTCTTCCGGTGTCATGGCATCGGTTGCGTGTCCGGAGCAAAACAGGGAGAGCTAGATGTTTGCTAGACTGCGTTTGGTGGCTTCAGTTTGCTGTGGACTGCTTAGAAAGAACCTGAGAGACCTCCGAGCTATGCAATGGTGACGTTATGGGATGGCAGCAGTGAAATGGGGTGGAAGCAGGTTGAGACCAGTTAGAAGTGGTGAGAAGGAGCTGTGCTGTCTAGAGCCTGCTTGCTTAGCTTCAGACCCTGAGGTCCTCTAAGGCTAACAGCGAGTCCTCTGTCCCTTTAACCTCTCGCTGGAGCCAGGACAGTTCTGGATCCCTAGAACGCTGTCGCCACTGTGACACCACCAGGCCACAGTACCATTATTGAAATCGCTTGCTGTCCTTGCTCCTCCAACAGTCTGGGCACAGGGAGGGGCGTGGGGAGACCCTGACTCCGATGTGGTTTCGAGCTGGGTGCAGCTGTAATAAGCTAGGTCTCTGCTCTCATTCCTGTCAGCAACAGATCTCGAAGGCAGAAGTTTATAAATGTCTGTGATGCAGGACCTCATAGCCACAACTGCTCTCCTTAAACTTGTGCTTTTTTGTATTTATACTGATCGCCTCAATTTATAGTATGTTCTTGGATTTACATCCGAGACAGGTGGTGGCAAATTCAAAGATGTGTAGTGATGTGCTTCAGTGGAGGAAGGTTCCCAAAAACATGGTGAAAACCTTTTATCATACAAAACCATGCAAAAGAATTTCTGAACACAATTATTTAGGGGACACCCCTGCTCATAGACTATGTTTATGAGAACAGCCATAGAGTTTTGAATTCTGAGAAATATGAAGCAGATGTGAAAGTGCTAGCAAGAGCAGGGTAAAGTGTGCTTGCTAAGGACAAACTCAACAAAGGCCTGACTGTTACATCCTCATTGAAAAACGTCTAAATTTAGGCATTTGCATGGATATATACACGTGATATCATTCTGAATTGAAAGGAATGTGGGTGTCATCTCTGAATAGACAGATGATTTAATAGCTTATTTGATCATAGACATTGTTTAAATATGGAAATTCTCTGCAATGAACTTTACTAAATGGTGTAAATGAGAAGACCTAATTAGAAATTGTGCAGGGATATCAATAGATAGGCATGAAGGGTTTTCTGCTTAGCGTTGATCAGAGGAGCGTGGAAAAGATGTGGAAGTGATTGGTGTGATGCAGGGTGCCAGTAGCGGAACATTCAACAGAGAAGTCTTCACTGAAAGTCAGGCAGTTCTTAGAGTAGGTATGAAGATAAAGTTGTGTTCTGATTAGTTCCCTGAGATGAATAACACTACCTCTGGCAACAATCTGTATTCCTCATCCCTGTCCAACCATGAATTCTGGGTTCTATACTAATTTTGATGATCTCTAATTATGTCCCAGTGTCATTAAGGTGAAATTGGAATTTTAGTTGTACCAGGGATCAAACTCATGACCTCATGCTTGCCAGGCAGGCATTCATGCCGCTGAGCTAAATACCCAGCACTGAAAGTGTTTTCTGTATACTATGCAAGATAGTAACCTTGTTCCTTAGAAAGTGTTGAATATTGTTGGAATTTTTCTATATTGTATGCTTATAATTTTTTAAAACAAACCAAAGGTGTCTTATGCAGTCACTTTTCAATTTTCACTTTGTCTGAGGGGTGTCTCAGTCAGGGTTTCAGTATTTCAGACAGCTCTGTAACTTAAGCTAGCCCCAAACTCGAGGCAGTTCCGCTGCATCAGCCTCCCAAGATATATATCTTGTATCTGAATGGAAAGTGATCAGTTCGTGACCCTGAGCTATAATTTGCAGCTTGGGCCTGGTTTCATTGTTTATACATTTTTACATAAAACTGTTTTTCATTAATATTTGAGTCATTAGTTATGTACCATATTTGATGTTATTTATGTTTTGTTCCATGAGACCAAATTCAAATATCAAAATGCTGCTTAAATATATTAAGAACAAAGAACTCAGTGGCCTAAATGAGATTCGAAGAGATACCATCTATAGTCTATCAGAGTGATTGATGAGATGTTTGTCTGCCTCTGTGCTATGTGAATGCTGGTCCTGCAGGCTCCCACTGTGAGTGCTGCTTTAGAGACAGTGCACAGGGACTCTTGAAGTGACTCAGTACAAGAATCAGTGCTCCTGTTTGTCTGTTACATTAGCAGTGAGTTGCAATATAGCATCAAAATTGCTGTCTCCAAAAATGTGTATATACACAAAATTAATGACCAAGACATGGATTTAAAATTTGAAGAATTCAGTCTCCATTCATCTATTTTGAATTAGTTTAGTTTGGTTTTATTGAGACAGGCTTTTTTTATGTATATCAGCTGGTTTTGAACCCCTTATGGAGCCTACAATTGCCCTGACTTCACAGCATCCCTCCTGTCTCAGCCTCTTGAGTGCTGGGATTATACATATGTGTTTTTTAACCCTACAAAATATTGAGGCTTGGCACTGTAACTTAGCTGTACTGTATCTTGGCATAATAGATGCCATCTTGAGCTTTGCATTTAACTAGGGCCCTGTATTTCACCCAGAAAAATGGAAAATCACTCTGGGTTGAAGTCCCAGGAGAAAAGCAAAATGAGCTGTACCCAAAGAAAAAATTAACCTGCTCAACAAAAGGAGCAGAATACAGCTGTCATCCAAAAATTATGAGTCTAGCTAAATGATTTCCAGAAGGATTTTTTGTGATTGTATCTTATAAAACATCTGTAACTTTCCAGTTCAGAGCCTCTCATTTAGATCCTGAAATAGTGGTCAGGGTTCTGTATACAAGTGGTCCTGAGACCAGCTAATGAAATTCCACATTTCTCAATTGGGTTGCTTGGATTCCTATATTGTTGTTCACAAACTCAACTCAAGCTGCAGAAATCTTTACTGATACAAGCAAACACCAGGATAAAATGCTATTGCCACTGAAATGATACAATAATAGTGAAAAGGAGAGGAGAAAAAAGACAAAACACCATGTATTGTAATGCCCACCTCTTTTCCCCAGCAATGAAGAAGCTGAAACAGGAGAATGGCCATATACTCAAGGACAGCCTACCCTACACAGTGAGTGCAGGGCTGGCCAGAACTCCAAAGTGAGCCTAAGTCTTTAAATCATAAAAATAAAATGAAAAAAATAAACCACCAATGAGAGAGAAAGACTATTTAAAAAAAAACAATGATAGAGCTGAGTGAAAGTTTTGACTTATCTAAAATGGAAATTATTGAATGATGCTGCAGAGGAAAGAAGGCCATGTAGTGGCATCCAGGAGGCAGTTGCAAAAACAGACTTAGGAATGGCACCTTTTGTGCTAAAGCACAACAGTGACCTTTTTCCTCCAAAGACATCTGCAATTCACTAGACTGAGCACTTCTAAAGCTCATGGAAATGTTAAACTGATGGCAAATAAGCAGCTTGAAATCCAGGCTCTGAAACTTGGCCTTTAGCAGACATTTCATATTCAAATTGAAATAGGAGAAATATAATCCTGCCCTGTTTGATATTGTTTGTTACCTCACAACATTGTGGAATGAAGTCACAAACCAAAAGAAGTTCAAAAAGTTTCTTAGAAAAAAAGAGAGAAGAATAGCCCTGGATTTTCATGAGGGGTCTTCAGTGTTTTGGCCACAGACCTATTGTCAGGGATCATTTATACAGCAAAGTCACAATATGGGTACAGTGTGGGTCTCAAACTACAATCAACCTATAAGCTTATAGCTGCTTAACTAATATTATTCAGCAGGGGAACAAGTCACCCCTAAAAGGTATGTGGAAAGAGCCAAGGCATTTTGTGGGAACAATAGTCCAGTTGTTCTGGTCATTGAGTATGGTAACTGATGCCTATCAGGACTTCCTGGAAGAGGTGATGGTAACTGTAGTACATTTCAAGCTGCTCTCTTCAGGAGCATATAGACATGGTCACTGCATCTTCACCCTCAGGTCTGGCTTTCTTCAGCTGTGCCTGTAGAAGTGATTGCTCTGTTTAGTTTTTTGCATTGACTCTTTCAGGTTCCAGTTTCCCTCTGATTGTGTATCAATTTCTGTCTACACTGACATCCTTTACTAAAATCACAATACTATTTGAATGGATAAAGTTGTTTTTATACAATCAAAAATATTCATTAATAGAGACCAGGGATTTAGCTTAGCAGGCTGAAACACCTGCCTGGAAAGTGCTAGGTTGTATTTGATCCCTGGTACCTAAAAAAAAAAGTCATTTAAAGTGCAAGGAAAGAAAATAATTTCATTTGTGAAAGTGTGGGTTTACAAAATTTATAAGTAAATATGTCAGTGGCGAATTAAACATTGTTAATAGTCCTATTTAGTATCTAAAGTTGTTGGGGGTGGGATTTAGCTCAGTGGTACAAGGAGCTGCCTGAAAACACAAGGTCATGAGTTCAATCCCCTATACAAAAAAAAAAAAAAAAAACATTCACAGTTGTCAACGATGCAGTACTATGAGCACATTTATTGAACCTGATACTTGTTAATTAATAGACTCAATGTTTCTTTTGTGGTCTACGAAATACCTACAGATAACATGGCAATTACAATGAATGATATACTGTCCCCTATAGGATTGCTATTTTCAGAGTTGTATTTATTTTTTGTTTTCCCACATACTTGAAAGTTGAGGGGCTGGGGATTTAGCTCAGTGGAATAAGCACCTGCCTTGCAAGCAAGCAGTCGTGAGTTCGATCCCTGGTACTGATAAAAAAAAAAGAAAGTTGAAAATGTTGGCTGATGTTAGGTAGAAAATCTGTGATAATCATTTTTTCAATTTAATGCTATATTTCCCTATATTCATTAAGAACATTTTGTTTGCTGCAATTATTCGAAGTGAAATTGATAAACAGTTCTTAAAGTTACAGGCAGCTGAGTTAGTTAGAAATACAGGCAGCCATACTGTGATATAGTGGAATGAAATTCCTGAACTTCTATGTCTGGTATGAGTTTGTGTTCTCTAAAATGGAAGAATAAATGTTAGGAGCAACAGAGGTGAAGAGCAGAATGTATTTATTGAGATATTGAGAGAAAGAAAGCGAAAGTATTTTGACCTAAATAAGATATTTTGGCAGTGGGATGTGGAACCAGGGGCCTTTTATCTTGAGGTC